GGAATGCTACTGATGGTATCTTAGTTCATTCTTTGACTGGTCATACTGAATCTGTAAGTCATTTGTTTTTCTGATTTGTGAATCTTTTCTTGAATCTTGTTATTTTCTGCTTGCATTTAGGATTCAGCTATTATATAACCATATGCGTAGGCTGATCAAAAAATTACCACATGCCTAATTACAGTGGATGCTGATCATTAATCACTGTCATGATTGACAGTTTAGTATTAGATGGAGCTTTGGCTTGGACTGAAATTCTTTATCATATTTTTGCTTCTCTATTTAGCCGAGAGATTACAGTTAGTTCTAAGTCTGTTGCTGCATTTGTTTACGGTCTAAGTATATCCAGTAGAGAAATAGATGAGATTAATACATGTCAATACCAGTTCTAATCTTTCACTAGTGATTGCATTCATACATTCAATTCAAGTGAGTTATTGTTTTCAAGATATTTATATTGATTGCCCTTCTCTGAACTTCCTCGAATTCATGGAATTTATGATTTTAGAATTTAGGTTTCCAGTAACTATTAAATTCTGCACCCAAGCAACAAGCCCATTTTGTATCTAATAATTTTTTTTTGAAGTCTCCAGCACCTTTACCATTATGGTTTGTTCCTTTTATCAGAATCTGTTTACTAGCTTTTGTTTTGCTTTTGTTGTTCTGCAGCCAGTTTTTTGGTTGCTTATGTTACTTTTTCCTGCAGTATCTAAAAGTATTAATTTATTAACTGATGTTAATTTATTAACTAATATATATCAACTATTTTATAAATTATTAGTTAATGTTCATAGTTATTTGCAAAATTTTATTAATCAATTAAATTAAATAAAATTAGTATTTTTAAATATAATATTTTACAATTTTAATAGCATATGGATTGAGTTTTTATGTGATAGAAAGGAGTTGTATCGGTACCAGACTAAAAATAGTTTAAGGATTCAGACGGAAATGAAACGATAATTGGAAATTACAAGTAATAATCGGATCCAATTAGAAGTCCATACAAACAAAAGCATCATTCAATCAAATAATATCAGAGTTGGGAAACACAATGCCCCATAGAATATCTTCTCTGGATCTTTTTTTTTTGTGTGTGTGTGTGTGTGTGTTTACATTTAATTTTACAACAAATGAAGTGTTGCCACGTGTTACCTATGATGGTAGATATTTTAGTAGTTGAATGTTGGTGTGGATTTCTTCAGATAAGATTGAGTGGTTATTTCCTCAACGGCAGCAAAACCGTTCTTTTGTTGCGAGCTTCCCGGAGGATAATTGCAGCACCAACAAATTAATCAATTTGTTGCAGATATTATGCTGCCGTTGGTCTTTCAAGATGCTGCCGCAGATCTCCACCATGCTGCCAAGGTGCTATAAATACCTAATTATAAGATCAAGCAAAGGATTGACATCTCACACAACAAACTCAGCACAATTTCTCTTTATACTCAGATTCGTCTTAGTTTCAAGCCTTTTAATTTAATTTCAGCTCTACGCTTCAACTTAGATTAGTTTAGCAATT